AATTTATTATAGAGACAAGGTCTCGCCAAGTTGCCCAGGCGGGTCTCGAATCCGTGGGCTCAGGCAATCCACTCACCTCGGCCTCCCAAAGTACTGGTTTACAGGCTGAGCCACCAAGCCTGGTCTTGAAAAAAATTTTAACAAGCATGAGCATTTTGGCTTGTCCTTTAGAAATAGGTGTCTAATCCTTACAGACTGGACATATTTTTCGGGCTTTGTTTATTTTAGTTTGTCCTTTGAAAATAAGATTTTCAGCCGGGCTCGATGGCTCAGCCTGTAATCCCGCGCCTTTGGGAGGCTGAGATGAGTGGATTGCCTGAGCCTATGGGTTCGAGATCCGCCTGGGCAACTTGGTGAGACCTCATCTCTACAATAAATCAAAACTTAGCTGGGTGTGGTAGCGCGCGCCTGTAGTTCCGGCTGCTTGGAAGGCTGAGGTGGAAGGATCGCCAGAGCCCAGCAGATCGAGGCTGCAGTGGCCGGGAGCAGCCACTGCACTCCAGTCTGGGTGACAGAGTGACTCCAACTCAAAAAAAGAAAATTAGAAAATAAGTTTTCCACTCTTTCTGAGTATAAAATTATATATATATATATATATATATATATATATAAATTTTTTTTTCTTTTTAAAAAAATTTAAAACAAAATTATATTTTATATTAAGTATGCTTTTAAAATTGCAAGTGGTAATTCCTATGCTCTGGGCACAGCAAAGTATTACTAAGCTAGTTTGAACTCTGAGTGAAGAAAGAGTAAATTAACTCGAAGTTAAGTCCAGAGATGGTTTCATGGGATGAAAAGTAGATTAGTGTTTGGTTATGGTTATTGGAGGGCTATATTGAATTTGGCTCTCTGATTTCTGATTTTTGCATATTCTGGATTGGGGGAGTTATCACATAAATGTTACTGAACTTTAGGCTTGTGTAAGAGTCAATTCTTTTGGTGACCTATGACAATAGCTGTCTACCAAAGTGTATTTGTCTGGCTAATCCTGAGTTGTACCCCACATCTTTAAAATAAATAAAAATACATTTTAAAAAAGTGTGTTTGAGAACAGGTAATAAACTAGAGATGACTTTAAAAACATTGGACTATTTGTAACATTCTTATTAGCCTGTCTCTATACTTCTATGTTTTTCATGATCAGTGTGTGATTTGGACATCAAATGTTGAATATAATGTTAGTTGACCCAAACTGATACCTGCATCTACTGAATTTGTACTGTATGTGCTTAGGGTCAAGTGTAATTAAACTGAAGGCCTTTTTAGCGTGGCCCTTACTGTGAACAGTTGTAATGCATATTTGCCATTTCTGTAGTGGGTGTCTACATTTTTGCAGCAAATGAGCTCATGAATAAATTGATGAGTAGATGGACTCATCTTTCTCCTTTTTCCTGTCTTCCCATAGATGCAAGCCCCCCCTATCAAGCCCCGTTATAGAGTTGCATTCAGAAGATACACTTCAGATGGGCAAGTATCCTTAACCTAAGTAATATAATATGGACTGTATAAGTATTTTTGCTTTTTTTTCTCTCTTTTCTTTTTAAAAGATGGGGTGTGTGTTAGAGTGTGTGTGTGTGTGTGTATGTGTGTGTGTGTGTGTGTGTGGTGGTATATAGCGTATGTTTTTGCTGATACATTGACTCTTGTATTGTGGTTGTCATGAGGGAATTTAAAACAACTCTCTGTATGGTTCTTCTTAGATATCCTTAGGTCTCTAGTCCTAAATTTTTTTTTTTTTTAAAGAATCTGGATTAGTTGCTAACACTCCAAAAATAGATTTTCTTTCTTTCTTTCTTTCTTTTTTTGAGTGAGGGGGTCTTACTCTGCCACCCAGACTGGAGTACAGTGGCACAGTCATGGCTCACCACAGTCTCAACCACCTGGACTCAGGCATCCTTTTGCCTCAGCCTCCTGAGTAGCTGGGATTCCAGGTACATGCCATCATACCTGCCTAATTTTTTGATTTTTTTTTAGTAGAAACAAGGTCTTGCAGTGTTGTCTCAGCTGGTTTTGAACTCCTGGGCTCAAGCAATCCTCCAGTCTCAGTCTCCCAGAATGCTGGGATTGTAGGCATGAGCCACTGTGCCCAGCCCTAACATAGATTTCTTATGAATATCTCAATTTCTAATTTTCCATGGAAAATCTAGAAGATGTGGCACCGTTAGATGCTGATTCCTGCACAGGAACAATTGAGTAGCAACTGGCTTATCCAGAGGAGTTGCACATTCTCTAGCTCTGCCCCTGCCACTCTTTGGTATCTTCCGCCTGACCATCTTACTCATTTCTGCTACTTTCTTGGTCCCTGAAGTTCATTTTCTTTCCCCTCAATTTTTCTCTTCTCAACTTTTAATTATGAATGTTTCTAACAATGCTTTTCTCATTGGTGAGCCTTTACATTATGGGTAACTCTCTTTCATTGTTTTTGGTTTGTGTCTGACAGAGAAATTAAATGGGTTTATTAGCAATTTGGGTCAGATAATGTACACACAGAGCACGGCCCTCATAAATGGTCATCACCACAGATAACATAGTCAACGTCAGGTGACTAGATAAGCGTCCTTTTGTGTACAGCCAAAATACATCACTCATCTTCCTTCACCGTTTGCTTCCCTCATACAAATCGTAAGTATTACCTATTCAGGCTGTGCCATTTGCTGGATCACAGTCATGCATTGCTTCACGATGGAGATACATTCTGAAAATGTGTTGTTAGGTGATTTAATCATTGTGTGTTTACCCAAACCTAGATGATGTAGTCTACTGCACACCTAGGCTGTTTGGTCTGGCCTGTTGCTCCTAGGCTACAAAATGGTACAGCATATTACTGTACTGAGCACTGTAGGCAGTTTTAACACAATAGTAAGCATTGTGCATCTAAACATAGAAAAGGCACAGTAAAAATTCTGTATAAAATATAAAAAATGGTACACCTGTATAGGGGACTTACTATGAATGGAGTTTGCAGGACTAGAAGCTGCTCTGGGTAAGTCAGAGGTGAGTGAATGTGAAGGCCTAGGACATTACTGTATACTACTATAAACTTTATAAACACTGTACAAAAGGGTTTTTTTCTTCAATGAAGTTACCTTAACTTACTGTAACTCTTTTACTTGTTAAACTTTAACGTTTTTACTTATTTATTTTTTTGAGTTGGAGTCTTAGTCGGTCACCCACACTGGAGTGCAGTGGCATGCTCACAGCCACTGCAGCCTAAACCTGGTGGGCTCAGGCGATCCTTCCGCCTCAGCCTTCCAAGTAGCTGGAACTATAGCCATGTACCATCACGCCCGGCTAATTCTTTTTATTTATTGTAGAGACAAGGTCTCGCCAAGTTACCCAGGCTGTTCTCAAACACCTGGGCTCAGGCAATCCGATCGCCTCAGCCTCTCAAAGTGCTGGGATTGCAGGCATGAGCCACTGTGCCCAGCTAAATTTTTTTAAATGTTTGACTCTTTCGTAATAGAACTGCTTAAAACATGTTTGTACAGCTGTACAAAAATATTTTCTTTATTTTTCATTCTATTAGCATTTTTCTATTTTTAAATTCTTTGCTGATATTTTACGTTTTAAACTTTTTTGGTAAAAACTAAGACACAAGCACACACATTAGCCGAGACCTACACAGGGTCAGGGTTATCGGTATCTTGTTTCCCACCTCCACACCTCATCTCAGTGGATAGTCTCCAGGGGCAGTAACATTCATAGAGCGGTCAACATTGCCTTCTTGTAGAATATCTGTCTGAGGCTGTTTCACTTTCTTAAAAAAAAAAAAAGTAGACATATATGCCAAAATAATGATTAAAAGTATTATATAGTAAATACATAAACCAGTAACAGTTGTTTATCAAGTTTTATATACTGTAGATCGTTGTATATGCTAGATTTTTATATGGCTGGCAGTGCAATGGGTTTGTTTATAACAGTATCACAACAAACACATGAGTAATGTGTTGTCTTAATGGCTACAACGTCACCAGGCAATAGAAGTCTTCCAGCTCTCTTATGATCTTATGGGACCACCATCATATATGTGGTCTATCTGATGTTGACTGAAACGTCATTATGACTACTTATGTTCTTCATACTTTTTGCTATTATAGTTTTGCATGTATTTGGTTAATATTTGTGTCAGAATAATGATCTATAATGAAAGATCTAGTACTTTACATTACCTTTGATTAAGCAATGTAGAAATATAAAGTAGAAAGTAAAGGTCTTCCTTACCTCCACCTTTAAGATAACCAATGTTAGAGTGGTTTTTTTTTCCTTTTTTGAGTCGGAGTCTCACCCTGTCACCCATGCTGGAGTACAATGGCACACTCACAGTCACTGTAGCCTCAACCTGCTGGGCTCAGGCAATCCTTCTGCCTCAGACTTCCAGGTGACTGGAGCCACAGACGCACGCCACCATACCTGACTAATTTTTTGATTTATTATAGAAACGAGGTCTCACCAAGTTGTCCAGGGTGGTTTTGACCCCCTGGGCTCAGACTATCCTTTCACCTTTGCCTCCCAAAGTGTTGGGATTATAGATGTGAGCCACCCAGTACTTTTCCTCTCTCTCTGCTTCTCTGCCTTCTGTCATGTGATAACACAGCAATGATGATTAAAAGTATCCGACTCAAAAAAGGAAAAAAAAAACACTCTATCATTGGTTATCTTAAAGGTGGAGGTATGGAAGACCTTTACTTTCTACTTTATATTTCTACATTGCTTAATCAAAGGTAATGTAAAGTACTAGATCTTTCATTATAGATCATTATTCTGACACAAATATTAACCAAATACATGCAAAACTATAATAGCAAAAGTATGGAGAAAGTAAGTAGTCATAATGACGTTTCAGTCAACATCGGATAGACCACATATATGATGGTGGTCCCATAAGATCATAAGAGAGCTGGAAGACTTCTACTGCCTGGTGACGTCATAGCCATTAAAACAACACATTACTCATGTGTTTGTTGTGTTACTGTTATAAACAAACCCATTGCACTGCCAGCCATATAAAAATCTAGCATATACAGCTATCTACAGTATATAGAAGTTGATAAACAACTAGTTTATGTATTTACTATATAATACTTTTAATCATTATTGCTGTCTTATCACATGACCTTCACCAGCTGCAGTTCCCTCAACCTTGGACTTCCCATCTCCAGAACTATAAACAATAAATCTCTTCGTGACCAGCCTAGGCAGCATAGCAAACCTTATTTTTTTTCTTTGTAGAAAAAAATTTAAAAATTAGCCAGGCATAGTAGTTTGCACCTGTACTCCCAGCTACACTGGCCGAGTGTTTTCTGACTACAGATAGACAGCATACCTAGGGATAGGTAAATAAATACACATATTAATGCATTTCAGTGCCTGACACATAAAAGTTTTAATAAATTTTTGTTGAATGAATAAATATACACATTGAATAACTGTTTTAGTTTAATATGTACTTGTTGAATGAATGAGTCTCTACTACTATATATAAATATAGACTTTTATGCAAGCTTAATATAGAGTGAATCATTTATGCTTAGTTATATTGCTTGTTCTTTTCATGTTCTGGTCAAATAATGACCATCTTTTCATGTCAGTATATATAGATCTGCCTCATTATTTTTAATGACTTTATAGTACTCCTTTGCACGGATATTTTATTATATTTCATCTATTTTCTATCGATGATCATGTAGATTGCTGCCTTTTGATATCTTTATATTAAACAATGTGGTAGCAAATATATGTATATGTGCATATTTTGTAGGAATTGCTAGGTCCAAGAATTTGCACAGTATGAATTCTGGTAGCTACTGCCAAACTGCTTTTTTTCTTTTTTTTGAGTTGGAATCTCACTCTGTCGCCCAGATTGGAGTGCAGTGGCACGCTCCCGGCCACCGCAGCCTCGACCTGCTGGGCTTTGGCAATCCTTCTGCCTCAGCCTTCCAAGTAGCTGGAACTACAGGCATGTGCTACCACGCCCGGCTAATTTTTTGATTTATTGCAGAGATGAGGTCTCGCCAAGTTGCCCAGGCAGGTCTTGAACCCGCGGGCTCAGGCAATCCACTCACCTCAGCCTCCCAAAGCGCGGGATTACAGGCTGAGCCACCGAGCCCGGCTCAAACTGCTTTTTAAGTCCTTTTTTCAAATTTATATTTCCACTAAAGTGAGTGAGGATTGTTTCTCTACACCCTCTATTTTAGTCCGTGCTACTCTAACAGAATAACTGAGACTGGGTAATTTATAAAGACCAGAGATCCCTTTATTTTTAGAGACAAAGTCTCTGTCACACAGGCCACAGAACAGTGGCATGATCATGGTTCACTGCAGCTTCAAACTCCCAGGCTCAAGCAGTCCTTCCATCTCAGCCTCCTGAGTAGTTGGGAGTACACGTGCATACTACTATGCCTGGCTAATATTTAAACTTTTTTCTACAAAGAAAAAAAATAAGGTCTTGCTATGCTGCCTAGGTT